CTCATCAACACACAGCTCTACGATGGCCCACCTGCAGGTGATACACAAAAGTACTTTATCGAACTCTGGGACATCGGCGGCTCAGCCGGTCACAAGAATGCTCGCTACGTCTTCTATGACAATATCCAGGGAATCATTTTGGTCCATGACCTCACCAACAAGAAGTCTGAACTGCATCTATCCAATTGGCTGAACGAACTCACAGCTACAGATTCGTAAGTGAATGCCCCTCTTTCAGATTACTCTCCTTTCCTTGTCAAAAATCCCCAAGTCTGTACGTGCCTATCTAAAATGAACCAGTCGAATTGATAGACGGCAGAGCCAGTTACTACTGGTTGACCTTCAGTCATGTGGGCCACAGTTGTCCATTACCTATGTGAACGAGGATCTTCTGACGGCTATCCGTGGGCAATGTGCTCGCGCCTCGTTTGACCTCTGCATTCCTGTTATTAGCCCACGTTCCTTTTCAAAAGGTGGCCAGACGACTTGTACCTTACTGCTGCGTAATCTGATTATGTAGAATTTGATGCTCATCTGACCTCCCTTGCGCTGTCTTATCTCCACTTGTAGTCTCGAAGTTGTTTGTCATTCTGCGAATGGCTGCACCTCTCCAGACGCAACATCTAATGGCAGAGCTGCCACGACCTATCCTTCCTTTGACATCCGCGGATTCTGGAGAGACAGCACTCCACCGCCGGTGTCTCTTTCTCCTGTCGTTCCCATCCTCGTGGTGGGCACGAAGTTGGATCTAGCTGGAGAACTGCACAGCACCACCCCTGCCACCACCTTCGTTAGGACTGCAGTCGTGCGCCAGTCATCTTCGCATCCTCATCTCGAGGCCTATGGAGGTTTAAGTCAGAGGAGTGCAGCTATCAGACAGCAAACGACCCCCACGTCTAACTTCAATGCCGTCTACCGGTCTTCGCCCATTTCCCGTCCAGGTAGCTTTGCTGCACAGAGGGGCTTTCGTGAGATCCTCCTTGTACGTAATTGACTCCTGTTACAATCACTTGCTTACATGCCTCATTTGCTGTGTGCTTTAATACTCTGACGACCAAAGTCAGCTCTGGGAAGTCAAACTGACGGTCACGCGGAGCCCCACGGCCGAGGCTGACCTGTAATGACCGCGGAAACGAACTTTATTGACCGAATGGACCTGACGAAGAAGGCGCTGTGGAAGTCACAGCTCTTCGGGATAACGAGCTACTCCTTGTAGGCATGTGGCAGAAGGCGAGGTTGGATGGGAATTCCTACCTTCCGGGTATCTTTTCAACCAAGTGGGGTGTTAGGTAGCCTAGAAGCATCCCCTTAGACGCTGACTGCCTCGAAAGTGTGTTATTTTTTGCCCAAACAGTCTATCTCTCACAACAACCCTCGACACAACCCACCGGGATCCCCAGAGCTTAGCTGTACGAGATTGCGAAGATGCTCTACTGAGATTTCACAGGCGGAACGCTTTAGAGGGCTTGATTGTGATAAGTGGCAATTACCTATTCGTTGCAGGCTGTAATTCTCACAGTCGCAGACCAACAGAACGTTAGCCGCCCGACCCCACCCCATGACACAAACCTGCAATTTGCACATTTGCCCTGTTTTCTAGTCCACACTGGGAAAAAGTTGTTAGTTGAATTACGGACTACGGCGAGTTTCATCTACACCAACTGTTTTTATTTGCTTTTCTTCACGAACCCCGATGACCATCTTTAATGATTCCTCACCTTACCACAACCAGGACATCTGTCGACGAGACCCAGCCTCCCTAGCTCTCATTTACGGGCGCTCTCAAGCCATTTCCAAATATAACCTTCCAGCCCCTCGCTGATGGCAAGCAGACTGAGGGAGGGAGAGGTTCACTAACCACATCGCTCCCCGGACTTGCTATTTCGGGTGGGCGCGTGAACGCTGTTCAACACCACCAAGGCCACTACAATGTTTAGTAGACTACATGATTCCATTCGTGTACAAGATTCTTTCTCGTAATTTAGTCGGAACGTTGCCGATGCTGGTCAAAAAGAGCTTCGAGTCAAGTGGACAGACTTTGTCGCTAAAAATATTTCAACGATTGTGGAAGTGATCGCAAACATTTGGAAGACCTGTACGACATTCGTCATTGATTGCGCCGAATGGACGTTCTAGCACCGGTTAAAACCACGGCGAACCTGGCCTGGATCTGATTAACCTTTCCGAACGGATCTGAAGTCTGGTCTCCAGGAGACGGGATGCCGCGTCGAGACGCGTGATTCAAACACAGTCAGCACTGACAATCTACACGACGAGAACGCTGAGGTGCGCAACTGAGAACTGCGCATAGGACGTCTTCCCAAGCTTCCCACTTACCGGCCTCACACCCACTCACATGACCTGGCACTAACTTATACGTGCTTATACTACTTGCGATTAGAAAGTAACCGTTAATGATTACTCTCATTCGACTGGCTGTCAGCTGTCCGCGATGATGTACAAAATCCCTTCTTTACCTTCCCACTTATCAATGTTTTTTTTCCGATGGCTTGTAACCAATAGGGAGTTCAAAGGCGCTCGCCTATATTTCCGTTAATAAACTGAAACTTAAAGGTAAGACCACAGAAACACCTCTTCCAGTCAAGATCTCCGCACCATCTCCCCTGAGAATAACATTTGTGTGCTACCGGGATACATTTCAAAAATAGTCGTCTCTTTGTATTTATGCCCGGAAGCGCGCATTTCCATCTCCACTGAGCGTTCTGATCTCGTACCGGGCTCGTAACAAATGACGAGTATAACGACCGTGCAGCCAAGTTTCTGCCCCCCTTCCCCAGACACTGTTTTTGAATGCGAAAAGTCTGCACTGCTACAGGTCAAAAGGACGGGATATTAGAAATCAGCCCAAACAAACCAAAAGCCAGAAAAAAAAGTCAAAAAATACAAACGCGGACAATGTGCCAAATAGGGAATCTGGGGGTTAGAAGTTGGGCATTCGGTAGACCCCATCGACCGGTCGGGCGGGCTGAACTGAGGACATTTTGGAGGGTCCGGTGGAGGAAGAGGATCCGTCGAGAGGAGTGCGCCGCGCCTTTAGACGGATGACCTAGAACACGATAGTCGGTATGACCATCAAAACAACGACTGAAGTTAGTCGACCTAAAATGCATTAACTGTGGTCGATGCCTTGAAACCCTGGGCTACACTGGACCCTCCTACAACAAGATGTTCCTCATCGTGGTGGATGCGTGGTCAAAACGGCAAGAAGGCCCCGACGCTCCGGGAGGAGAACAAGGCGCGGAGAACTGAGCAGTTAATCTCGAGACACGGAATGCCAACGCAGAAAACAACCCATCCGAGCTATATTCTAGCAGATGTTCCATATGTGGGGGATGAGATGCAAGATTCCACCGCCTTTCCACCCTCAATCAAATGGTCAGGCCAAGAGGTCTGTTGCCACCATCAGAAGAGCGACGAGTAAGGTGTGGAATTCAGGTGTCAAGACGGAACACTTGGACACATCGCTGTTGGCCTATTAAACGGCGACCAATACCGAGTTAGGTGGAGGGTGAATCTATTCATGCAGACGGGTTTCTGGACTTAGAATCAGATGTGCGCTCTCAGTAGCTGAAATCTGCGATGGGAGGTGTCAAGGAAGCCGTTTCAGAGAGGAGGAAGAGGTGTATGCAAAAAAGTACAATTTGGGGCACATGGCGTAATCTCCTAAGTGGGGCGAGAAGAAATGTGAAAAGACATGAAAACTATCTGGGGGACGAGAGGGTTCAGGCTACCATGTCAACCAGTGGGGAAACACGAATAAAACAGCGCATTGGCCCTTAAATGCGATCCTAGGACAGAAAGTCTCCAAAGTTAATGTACACACAGTGACAGTAAAGACGCCTTCTCTGTCATCCCTGCCTGTTCTCTGTTTCAAATAACAGCTGGCGCCAAACTACTGGGGGCGAACATCCACATACATAAAGTAGAGATCTGAGTACGCTTCACGGCTAAGGTGAGCTTGATGAGGACAGAAGAAAGCCCCAAAGATGACGGTTAGAGACCTGGCCTCTCAAGACGCCGAACATGCATAAACAATGGTCTCTAAAAAGCCCGACAAGAGCAAACTAGTAGGAGCGGAACAGAACTGCGCCATCATAGCCTCACGGTTCCTACGGGCTTCCATAGTTAAATCGCGTATTGCGGACATCGAGCCAATGCCCGTTTTTAGTGATACCGGAGGTTTAAATAAGCATACAAAGCAACGGGTTTGACAGTAAAGATCTTGTACTGACCCTCCTTCGGGCGCCTGCTGCAAGACTGCGTCTTTCGAGCGTACAGTGTGTGACCGATCTCATGGAATGTTGGTCGAAATTCTGGAATGCGTTTTCGATCAGGAAGAATTGCTTAGGTAAGATTTTAACATTGATTATAACGCGGCACAATTCTACGACATTTCGGACTCGCCGGGATGTCGGCTTTTGAATGCACTACTTTTTGGCCTCTTGCAGAGACCATACTCGGAAAAAATTGATTACTTAAGTAGTAGGCATTTTTCTGATTGATTTTCGATGGTCTTATAACTTCGAATGCATTTTATAGAAAACACGCATAAAAATATGCTTTCTTTTACTCGTTTGGTAGAAAATCACATTGTCTTCATATTTTATACCCGAAGAAATTGTATATTTAGGTTTCAAAAAAGTTCCCCAATTACCGAATAATTTTGCGCCTGATCTGCCATCGAATTAGCGTTTAGCGATTTGAATCTACAGGGTGCATGCTTTCTGCGTAGGGGAAATCATATATTCCTCTATGCCTTTAAGGAGATACCATATAGAGTTCATAAAATTCTGCAATGGATACGGGCTGTGTTGTACATTTCATGGGGAGCATTAGTAAACGGACATGTGCGATGCTGTATATATGGACATCGCACGGTCTTAAAAATCTCATAATTAAAAACTTTTTCAAAGCCTAAATATGCAGTTTCTTCGGGTACAAAATTCAAAAAAATGTGATTTTCTGTCAAACGAGTGAAAGAAGGCATTTTTGTGCGTGTTTTCTTTCGAGTGCATTCGAATTTATAAGACCATCGAAAATCAATGGGAAAAATGCTTGCTACTTACGTATTCATTTTTTACCGAGAGTGGTTTCTGTGGAGGTTGAAAAGAAGTACATTCGAAAGTCGACATCCTGGCAAGTTCAAAATACTATGGGGTTGTGCCGCATAGTAATCAGTACTGTAAGTCTCACCCAAGCAATCCTTCCTAATCGAAAACGCATTTCAGAATTTCGGCCAACATTCTATGAGATCGGTCACGCACTGTACCTATGACGGTCTGGTTTTCAGCCAATCAACATAAAGGCCTACGCATGCGTGCCTGCGCTCAAGGCGATCTGACGCCTGCTCCGGCGTCTCTCGTGTCCGGCTGCTAACTTGCTTCGTCCTATCCTCCATTCCTTCTGTACAGAGTGGTTTAGTGACAGGGCGTAGATCGGAGGAAAACATCTGTTCAGTCATTACCCCACCAACCTCTACAGATAACCGATGATAACTGAGGTAACGAGACCGCACCAATCTTAAGTTGTTTAAATTCACTTAATCTATTGCATTTAAGATGACGTGGGAAGGGGCGTCGAATGTATTACTGGCAGCGTTGGTAGTGGTAGGGTTATCGGATGGGTTTTTAGATCTGGAAGTAGAAATAGGTCAGAAATTGCGTGGCAAGCTTTGCAACACATAGGAGGTTCTATTACGCTCCGTAACAAACGTTTTCTGTTTTCTGGTGGTTTCTGTTTCTCGTGATCTGCCTTAGCTATATGCCCTACTTATGGTGAAAATGTTTCCTTGCGTTTTGTCAATAGCGTTGCTCGAATTGCCATTTCCGCATTGGAGGTCTTCCGTTTCACGCACATTTCAGAGACAGTGATGGCTTCCGCCACGGTCAAATCCGACAGCCACTGAGAGTAAGCAGGTTGGTAAATCAAGTTCTGGTGGCCATAGAGCTAGTGGACTTGACACACTCCAGAGACCAAGTCGGGACAAAATTTAGGCGCGAATAAGAAGGTGGCTAGGCGGGAAGGTCGGCCTACTTATTAATCTGCGTTTATGTAGAAGGATCAGTCTCTGGTTTTTTGAAAAACAAAACAATGCAACATGAGGGAGCAAAAATTAGTGATTACCTCGTTGAGGAAATCAGAGACCACTTGGGTGTTCTGTGATTCAAGGCCAAGGCTGTCTGGATCGTTGCAGTTCTGAATACGGGAAAATTAGAAGTGAACAGAAAGGACAGTAAAGGAGTACTGTGTGTTGTTAGTGCTGACAATTAAAGGTCTGAGTACAGTTACTAGCTAAGGTGAGTTTTGGTGAATGTGGGAAAAGCAACAATGATGGCGGTTACGGACCTGATCCTTCAGGGCTTCGAACGCGCATAAACAAAGGTCACTGGCGTTCACGTTACAACAGGCGGCACGGCTGTACTACTCGTCATTTGTGGCAGACGATCTGTCAGACAGGAATGTAGCCAAACTCTAGTTTTCGTCGCCGCCTTGGCAACTCCATTATAGCTCGGATTGTATTTGTGACCAGTTTTGACAATTCCCGAAAAGTCGTCGACAGGGTCACCTGAAATGGTGGCTTTATTCCACGGCTAATGCCGTCTCCTGTCATCTTCCATTTGTGGAGAGCGTAGTCTATGCGCGCCACCGACCTATCGTACTTCCAAGTTGCTCCAGGAGGACCCCGTTGGACCAAGATGGGGGCCATATTGGGGCACTGCACGTGTTAACCAGGCTGAACAGAGTCCGAAAACTTCATAGCAAATTTTCGCCTAGGCGCAAGCTTCTTGCTACGCCAGTCGTTGCGGCTCGGACGGTGGGCTGGTACATGAGATATGATATTGAGTGAGGTCCACTCTCGGGAATCCATCCCCACGACACCTTAGCACATCCATCATTACAAAAGATTTGACACGATGGAATCTATCCCAATGCACAAAATGTCGTGGCTTGGATGGTCACCAAGTAACTGGGTAACTCAGTCCCACCAGGACTTAGAGATGAGTTCAATGGTTTCTTCTGAATGTCGCTTTATAGGTGCTGTTATGCAAGGGAAGTCCTAGGTACATTCTGCAGGCATCAGGTCGCCTGTGAAACGTGTAGACGGGCTCTTTAGACGCCGCTGTGTCCCGGTCGTGCCGACTCTGTCCTCCTACTGGGACTAGGCGGGTGAGGAGGGATGGACTGCAGTAGATGCAATTACCGTCCTGCGCCCATCATGTTGTAGAGCAAGTGATGTACACAGTCCTTCGTGACTGTCGGACTGCCAGTCCTTGCAAGACGCTGCATTATGTCATTTTTATTTGTATGCACTTGCTTCATCGGCGCAATCCCCCACAATGTAGCCTGGTCTGACCAGTATCCGTGCGCACAAGAAACGTGCTTTGGTTTGGGTAGGTTCGCGTATGCACTCA